CAGCGCCACTTTGAGCTACAGTCAATTGTGGGGATGTTGAGCGTTTGGGCATGGATATTATTAACACGCGTTTGAACTCGAATTGTATAAATAAGTTATTATTTTATGTAAAAAACATTTGTTGTAAATATTAAATATAAGTTGTATGTTAATTTGTTTCCCTTTTTATTGTTTAGCATTTTAGAGCATACTTTTGGGTGGCATTTAAAATGATTTCTAATTCGTATGCCATTTCTTTACTTATTCAAGTTAACAGACTGGTTTTAAGACATTTTACTGAAGGTTTGATTAGTAAATATATATTATAAAGATATGGAAAACACGACAAATAAAACAAATATATTGTACAAATAAAACATATATGCTACGCTTACCATAGATTAAATATTTTAAATAAAATAAAAAGTGTTTATAAGATAAACTAAAAATACTCGTTTATTTATTAGATTTCTTTTTACTATATTAAATTTTATTTCATTTATTAAATATTTCTTTAATTATCGTAGTGATCAAAATTTATGTATGATTTTTGAACAATGAAATAGAACAAAAATTTGAAATATGTGTGTGACACTAATTCAAAATGCTACTTCTCCACTAAATAGTAATACAAATGCAAGTTATATTATAATATAATAATTATTAAAAAATACCGTTAATAACACTTGAAAATGCTTAAAATAAATTCCTGAGCAGCATTAAGTTGAATTAAAATTTTTAAATCTGATTTTTCATAACACTGAAGCTCGCCTGTACCACAATGACTTTCCGCACTGGCCTTAATTCTGTCTTATCATTTTACGGAGGAGCACATTTTGATGTGTCTCCCTTTGTCTCGGCCAACAATGAACCCACCTACACCCCGTGGGTTTTTTTTTGCTTTTCCCTTCCGCCTATTTCCGCCCTACCCTCTTTTTCCACTTGTCACTTCATACAAAACTCAATTAATAAAAGTTGACGGCGCTCAGTGAGCGTAAAAGTGCGTTGATGAGGCATGAAAGTGTTTTTAACCCTTCTCACACACACAGACCTTTGGCCTTTCACCCAGTAGGGGTCAGAAAAAAAAAATATATATATATATATATTTGATAACATTTTCCACCGCCATCGATATAAACCGCGTCGAGTGGGGACAGAAAACGCCACTCGGCATCAAAAATTATGCAAATGAGTGCTAACGATGCTTACCTCGGGCATTGGGGGGAACTCCCGAAAAAAAAGAAAGAAAAGGAAGCACAATGAAAGTCCCCCAAAACAATAACAACAGTCCAACGCTGATGATAATCTCCAGGCAGGTAACGAGCCAGCCCTGGTTTCCGCTTTTCGTCACGCATTCCCCCCTAAAACATCTCGCTCTCTTCGTGTTTTATGTTAATGAATTTATTTATTATTATTTCATGTTTTTTTCGTTGTGTGTGTGTTCGTTTTTTTTCTTGCCTTGTTCCGTAACGCTTCACCGTAAATTAATTTGGCCGCCGCAGGATGTTGGAATAACGGTCATGTCGCCTGTCGTTAAGGGGCAACATTGCGCATACGCCATGTGGGACGCATGGAATATCAGGATATGAAGATCATTTCGAGCTTGAAATAACTCTTTTTTTTTTTTTTTTGGCAACACGGAGAGTAAGTGTAACCCAAAAGGCAAAGAAAGAAGAAACGAGCCACGTTTTTGGGGGAGCTAATTACAAATGGAGTATCTGCAAAAAGGAGAACGAGGGAAAGGGACGAGAAAAGGAGTTGTGGGGATGGTTTTAGGGCATTACAACATTACCCGCCCGCATCAGCTAATTATTTAAAATGCTCGGTGACATTAAAAAGCACTTTCGCCTCGCAATGATAATCACAAAATGTGCTCTGTCTCTACCATTCCTCCATTCCTCCACTTTTCCTACATTTCTCCAACATTTCTCCTACATTTCTCCCTCCATTTCGTTCCTATCCGCCCCAGTTTACAGCGCTGCTTTTGTGGCTTTTTTGATAATGACGCTGATTAGTCAGCGCTTACGACAACTCGGGAATGTCTTCTTCATGTGGCTGTGTCCTCTATTTTCCAAGAAGTAGGAAGTAGGAAGTCGGAACTTTAAAATTAAGTTCCCCCCTGCCCCACCCCACCGAATCCAGTCTGTCTCTCTGACGCAATCGAGAAAAAGAAAAACAGGCATGGGTTGAAAAACTGTGTTCCACAAAAAGCAAAATTTGATTGATGGCCAAGAGTTTGTTTGTTTGTTTGTTGCGTTTTTGTTTTTCCTTCACTGCACTCAAGTTGGACATATAAACTGAGCAGAAATATATTACCATTGCCATTGCCATTTCCATTTAAATTTTCCTCATTTCCACTTGAGCAAGGCCATGAAGGTGTTCGTTCGGGCGGGTATTGGGAAATTTTTATAACAAACAATCGTCAGAAAAAAAAAAAACAAACATTGGCATTGCTCTGACTCAGCTGGGCTAATTATTTCAATTTTGATAAATTTTCAATGTGTTTTATGTACTAGGAAGAGATTTCCCTTTTCCCCCCCTCTCGAAATTAACACCTCCCTGGTCCTCGGGAGGGCTATAAAAACTGATGCGGCAGCCACTGGTGGTGGCTGGGGCAATTAACGAGTGGGGCAAGGCAACCGAAAGGAGAACAACACTGACAACGAGTTGTGTGTGGACAGTGCGTTTCGTGGGCATAAGGGAGATGATGATACACATTAATCTTAATTAAATTGTACCATAAGCAAAAAAAAAAAAAAAAAAAAAAAAAAGAAAGGTTCATAAAGGTGTGGAGTGCACAATCAGATGGAGTAAGTGACATTTATGGTTTGAAATGATAAAAATGTGTTTTAATTATGATTATTATTTACCTAATATATATTTTTTATTAAGAAAAAAAGGTAATTGTATAGTCATAATAGTAATAGAGTTATTAAATATATATATGCTGTATTTCATATGGTGTTTTCTTTTTCAAAACAGCCATAAAAAGCATAAATGCAAAACTATATATTATAGCTGTGAGGATTTTAGGTATACATAGAAGGTACGTTCCTTTACGACCTATAAGAGAGGGTACCTTTTTTTTATATACTCACAAAAAATAAAAAACGAAATATATATGAGATAGACATGCAAAAAAATAGTAAATATTTTATTTTATTAAACTATTGTTATTACTAAACTAATCATAAGAAACTATTAGGTGAATTAGAAATTCTCAAGTCCTTATTCGGGGACACGGAACCTTAAAATAGGAAATAATGTAACAGGTTTACTAATAAGATTAAAAGTTGAAAATCGGTTAAATGAATATAAAATGATCTGTGTGGGAACTTAGTATATAGTCAAAAGATAAATATATAAATTAAACTAAATTTAAACTCTTAGAGCGACCAGATTTGACCACCAAATCACAATGAGAAAGTATTGGTACATATTAAACGTGTGACAGCAGACAAATTTTCTAATATGTAGAGATTTTCTATGCATTACCTAGGCCTTACACTACCTAGCCGCACTGTACGTACGCACATAGAAAAATGTAAATTTCTAGAGGGGCAACGCAACTGGAACCGAACTTGCCCCGTTTTTGGTCCTTTGCTGTGGTTTCAGCTCAGTCCTTGTCTTTCTCTCTTCCCTCTCTCTCCCTCTCCCTCTTTAAGTGTGTTTTCAGGGGGGGTTACGTCATTGAGGGACACGCAATGGCAAATGTTTGTATTTTTATTATTATCGTGTTATGCCATGTATTTGTTTTGTTTGTTCGTTTGTTGGATTGCTGGATTGTTACCCAGCCACGTCATTGAGGAATAAGAGGGATCCCGAATAGGGAAAGGGGAGTTAGTGAAGCTAGCCAGGAGTCGCTCTTGAGGTGCGTCTGCCACTGGCTGAGTGCGTATACGCATTTCCCGGCTTTACGATTCCGCCGTATCTGCCGCTTTGGTGATAAAATTACTTTTACCCCAGCAACTGCTGTTTTTACACGTTGAGAAAATAGTACATGTTAGTTTGATAATTTGCTATTAACTAGGACTAAGAGGTACCTAGAACAAAGATAAAAAACAAAGGATATTTTGATGCTTGAAAACATAAAAAAGCTAAATTTTAAATATAAGAACATAAGAAGATAACTGAAAACAAATAAAACTTAAATTTTTGATCAAACCATCGTTTGAAACCCTGGTTCGTAAAACGGCTAAGCATTTGAGTTGAGTGTGAGCGAGATGGAAAGATAACATTCATGTGTATTAAGCAAATTGACTTTGATCTCAAAGAAGAGAACAAATTAAATGCATTACTTCTTTGTAAATTGTATTATAATCATATTTTAGACCCCCCAGATATACTAGTAAGAGCTATAGTATCTTTTCCCCATGTGTATAGAAATTCTGGGGGGTAAATTTACCGCCAACTACTTGGCTGATTGTCCCAGTTCTGGTTTGACTTTTTTTTTCCAGCTATTCGGCGATTTGGCCCTCTTATCTAAGACTATTGCCAGCTTTTGGTAATTGTCGAAGGCTTCTGTTTCTTTTCCGGGGGAAGGACTTTGTGTCCACGGGTTTTTCATGGAGTTCAACTTGCGCCATCCTTTGCTCTGCTCTTCTCTCTTAACCATTTTGTTTTTTACCTCTTTTTCCTTGCTTGCCTGTTTTTTTCTTTCTCTCTTTTTTTTTTTTGTTCCTTTGTTTTCGGTCCTCCGCTGGTGTCCTAGCTTGGCTTGTTTTTTTTTTGTTGTAAGTTCTTGCTTTTCAGCTTTTAACACCCACACAGATACGACTCAACACGCACACTAGGCCGACCGCCTGGCGTGCGTGTGTAAACGCGGTGTGGTGAGTTTTGCGAGAGAGTGTTGAGTGTGTGTGTGGTGGTGGTGAGAAGCTTCGCCGTTGGCCTGCACCTTCTTCGTGAATGTGCTGCACTGGTGTGCGTTACATAAGTCGCCTACGGGGCCGTGTATTCACCACGCGTCCATTGAGAATGTTAACGCAAAAGTGGTGCTTCTCAGTCGTCGACGGCGCACACACACACCAGCACAGCCAGCAGCGTGCCGCAGTTCGCCGCAATCCGTATTCCGTATTCCCGTGGTCCGTATTCCGTGAGCGCTTTCAGTCGCTGATTTGACCGCCAAACAAACGCAACGCAGCTCTCGGCTGATAAAGAAAGCCTTCGCAAAAAATACAAAAAAAAAAAAAGAAAAGAAAGCAGGCCAAAACGCGCTCTCGGTTCACAGACAACAACAGCCGCAACCATAATAACCAGCAACAATAATAATAAAAAAACGACAACAAATATACAAAGCAATTACTTGTAGTTGGTTTGTTTTCCCATCTATATTTACATATATATATATATATCTATTTTTTGCAAGTTATTTTCCCCTCGAATAGTTTAAACAACAACTCTATTTTTTTCGGTTTTCGTGGTAAAAAAAAGAAAGAATATAATAAATTGAAATTTATATAAAAAAAAGTAAAAAGTATTTAAAAGTGCCAAAAAAATCTAATTCAAACGCCAAGAAGATGAATTAAATGAAAACATTACGGACACAAACAATAATAGTTGTGATAAAAAAGAAAACAACAAACAGTAAAACGGCAAAAAGCAACCAAAGCAACAGAAACACAAACACACACGCACACAAACACACACTTAAACAAGGACAAACAATGGGGGAGATTAAGTGTTTATTTATATTTGTGTAGCATACTTTTGTGCGGCAGTCAAAGATTAATTTATACAAAAGGCTCAGTCACACACACACACAACCGAAAGAGATAGCAGATTTCGCATTTATGCATATGGAATGGTTTGGGTTTCGTTCTTTGGGCTCGGTTCTTTTGGGTTCTGGCTCCTGGCATTCGTTACGCTTACAAAACTTGACCCAAATTTACGTTTTGCGGTCCAGCAGCTGCCGCTAAAAAAAAAAAGAAATACAGTGGGCGGTGAACAGAGGGAGCTGGGGCAGGTGGGGAAGGACACCCACAGACAGCGAAACAACGTGGAAGGATTATGTAAACAACAAGAACGGCAGGGCCATTTTTCGGGGGCGAATACCTCTTACGCTATATGAATTGCTGTTGATTTCAAAATCTATTGAAATGATGCCTAGAAGTAGGCAACAAAATAGGGCCAAGCCAGAACATAAATTAAATTAAAAGTGAAAGGTAAAAGAAGGACATTTTATTTGTTGGTAGTTTTATATTAGCTTGTTCAGGATGTTTTATATTAGGAAGTTTATATTAGCAAAAACAAGGATGTTAACATTTATGATGTCAGAATCGAATATTAAGTCCAAATATCCTTTGGATTTTGGTCGTATATTTATATTTCCAAGTGTAAAATGATCAAGAGTATATATTTATAAAAGATTTAAGTTCCCAGACAAAAATAATAAGTTGCTCCCCCTTTGCTCGCTCAGACTTGACCTCCAAGGACTCATCAGTTTTGTGGGCTAAAGGGGTGCACTCCATCCATCCATCTATCCTTTCCATGCCGCCCCTGTTGCCATCAATGGTCGCAATCATCCGCACACAATCCGTCCGTAATCACAAATGCAGCTCTCACCTTGCGTGTCATTTCCTCGTTTTCCTTTAACAGCCTCATATAAAGCTATATGGCTGGATTCAGGACTCAGCCCCCCCAGATGGAGAGTGACAAAACATAACATGGCTACAAAATGCATTTTAATTTGCATCAATTATTTCGATAATTGGCCATGGCCAAAAGCAGTTAACGAGAAAATCCCGGGAATTAGCATGAGCTGAAAAGCGGACACGAGAAATAGTAGTAGTAGTAGTAGTAGTAGCAGGCAATCCGAAGGATAAGATCTCCATGCCACTCTCATTTGTAACCAAATTGGGCAATCTGTCTGTCCGGGGGCCTTAAGCGATGCAATCTATGCCGAATGAATGATACAGAAGTAGAGATATTTAAGTTTTAAGGACACCGACTTGGGGAAGAGGGGTTTTAAAGTATAATTTTGATAAAAAACATTCCCTAAAAGGAGCTATAATTATTTTTAATAAACAAATAAATACCTTTTTAATATACATAATAAAATTTAATTTAATCCATCATATTTTCACCATAATTCCTTCAATATTAATGGCATCCATGAATTCCCTATTAAATGCTCTAAGGAATTTTCCATTCTCCATTTTTCTGAGATTAGTTCCCCTCCACCGTTGCCAACGGTTGCCCTGATCCTGGCCTAATGCAATCGCCTTAAGGTAGTCACGACTGACATTTAGGCAAACCCAATCCGCCTCGCCAAGTTGATTGCAATCCACCAGCAGCATCCTTCAAGCTGCAACCGTCTCCTGCTTAAGTCCTGGGAAGCCTTCGCGTTGTGCATTGTCCTGGCATCGAGTCATTCGCTTCATATTCGCTGGCGTTTTTGTCATTCATCGCTTTTGGGTAGCCCTGGATGCGGTGGATGTAAAAATTAATTTACCACCTCCGCAATATCTAGGGGAACTTTGCAGTCCTTCTTCTCGCCTCTTTCCTTTCTTCTGGCCATCTCTCTATCTTTATTTGCATTTTTACACGGGAAAAAATAAAATAATATTGCTTTATAGTTGGGTACTTTTTTTTTTTTAGATTTTCTGTATTGAAATTTATTAAAATTTGTGAACAATATTAATATTTGGGATTTGATTTAAGTTAAGGTTGTAAAAAGTCTATTAAGTATATAATATATATAAATAAGAAATCCCAATTAAGGATAATTAAGGAACCAGACCAAGAATGGTTAAGTTTGGTATTCTAATTTCAAATTGTCATTTTAATTGAGATTTAATTTTAGAAAAATGTCTTGTTTATTCATTTTTTTTTCAATCCACTTTGTTTTTTTTTACGCACTCAAATTCATTTTTAATATTCCTGAACAGCAATGCTTTAATTAATATTTCCCATGCATTCCCATTCCATTCTCAAATTCTAAATGGAAATAAAACAATTTAATATTGGAATGGGGAACGTCATGGAAATATAAATAGTTTATTTTTCATGGCATTCCTCCTTCAAATTTCAAATTATTTCATTTACATTTTATTAAAGTTTGCAACAGGATAATGATAAATTGTTATTAAGTTTGAACAAATGTGTAATTGAAACTAAACTAATCGAATTTTTGTAGAAAGGGTAATATTTAAAATATACTTTACTCTGTTCTGTTGCTCAATCAACATTCCAAAACCCTGTTCCATTCCAGTTACTGTTGGTATTTTCAATCGGTTTAATTCTATTAAATATGATCGAACCTCAAAGATTAGATGGCCCCTGGCGTGACAATTGGGTTTTTTTCTGGTGTATTTCAGCTCGATTCGCGTATCGCATAGAATCCATTTCATTCGAATAACTTTGCGCATAGCTGCGTTCCATTCGCCGCGTTCCCGCCTCGCTTAACACTCTCTCTCCCACTATGCCCATTTCCCATTTTTGTTGGCGAGTGTCGAGCGAGAAGATGAGTGCGAGAAAAGTGTTGCATGCTCGCGGGCTAAACGCGAGATGAACACGCAACCAAAGAAATGGAAGGAGAAGAGGTGAAGAGGAGAATGGGCAGATGAAGACGAAAGGAGGCAGGAGGCTGGAGAACAACACTGCAGCGTAAAAAATAAGCACACACGAAGAGGAGAGAGGAGAGAGGAGAGAGAAGATGAGGGACTGGGACACATTCAGACAGATAAACGAGTCGAGTTACAAGCCAAGACACTGGGCGCAAGGGGGAGAGATGAGAGGATGGGGAGATGGGGAAATGGGAAAAGGACCTCGTGCATCGTGCCATCTCGCTCGTTGGCACTGCATTAGCAGCCAGCTGTGAACGAAATAAACGTAAAAATATTTTTAGTGTGAACAAATTTCTGCTCGTTGCTCGTTGTAAAAGGCAACAGAATGAAACTGAAACACTGCGACAAACGCACACAGGCATAGACAGTCACACACACACAGACACACATACAGCCACATGACGCAGGAGAACAAGCACACCTGACATGATAACACACACTCGCGCACACACCCACACTCACCCACGGAGGCAGAAACAGAGAAGCACAGCCAAAGTGTGTTTAGTTAGCAAATGCCAATGGCTCATGTTCACAGCAGACAGAGAGGGGGCGATACAGAGAGAGCCTGTGTGTGGGCGAGCAAGTGTGTGTCTGTCTATGTGTGTGTGTGTGTGACAGTTTTGTAAACAAACAAAGTCAAAAGCAACAAGAATTTCACCCGACTTGAACGAAGATATTGAGGGTCTCTGCAGCGAGCAAAGCTTTACATAATTGTGCTCACCTCCATAATAAAAGAGTTCGTTAAGAGAGGCAAGAAACCAGGTAATGGGGTCACCAGCAGTAATTGGAAATACATATAAGTTTTACCTTGTCCATATCGAAAGAATCAGATATGGTTTTCGATTATAATTATTTTGAATAAATTTCACAAAAGATATTTCGAGTATTCGAAGAAAGGTGTAGCCTGAATCCATATTGGTTCGAACTCAATCCTATATCTTTGAATGCATTTTGAGTATTCTGGGAAATATCTCTTTGCTAAACCATCAGAAAATGCTAGTCTAAGTAAAAGATAGGGATAATGGATTTAAAATGTACCAAATATTAGAAAAAAACATAATTTAAATATAAGAACCTGATCTCAGATCCTGATCAGATCATCAATGACTTCAAAAAGATTGGAAACGGTTTAAAAATGCTAAAGTGTACACAGAAATGCACAAAACTAATTGATATTAATTTAAAAACGATGTAATCAAAACAAAATATGCATAAAGGCCCAGAGAAATAAACGAATTGAATAACTGGGGCACCTTTTTGAATTTTAATACACCAAAAACCCCGAATATTTTGGGCTTTTTGGAAAAGATACGCTCTGAACCCTGGGAATCGGTATATCCAAAATAACCTCGGATCTGGTCTTTTCCCCTGGCCGACCTTCACTCCTTTTGGGATCGAGTGTTTTTGATTTCATTGCTGCACTTGATGCCAGCGTTTTGCATGCGACATCTCTGTGGGACTGCATCTGAAATTAACTGAATTTATTTCATAGCCATGCAGCAGCCCCTCCCTACCATATCCACCTCCATTTCTCCGGGGACTGAGAGAAAGGAGAGAACAAAAAAAAAAGAAAAAACAAAGGCAACTTATTTTTATGCCATTCGCGTCAACCGCAGAAGGCGGACAGAGAGAACACCGCCCACAGCCCACCCACTCGGCACACAGGGTTAAGTTTTTATGCGCTTTTGTTTGCAGCCTCTGCACCGAGCCCCCTCTTATGGCGCTTTTTTATGCCCTGGCAGGGTTTTATCATTGTAGTCAGAAATTTGAAATTGCTATAAAGTCGGCATCAACAGCCGAGTAGACCTAGCCATGAACCTCTATCCGTTTTGATGCAAAGTCCTCCCTCAGTTTTGGTTAATATGTAAAATGTCTAATTGTTATTGTAGATAGTAAAGGTATTTAGTAAAATCGAACCCAATCGGATGACTTTATTGCTGTCATAAGAATCTTTGAAAATGTATAAGAAATAAATCTTTAAATCTATTTATTAATATGGTTTAAATATCATAAAACTTAAACGATTACATTGAGAGCTATATAATATGAAATGTTCTAACCGCTAGGGTATACAGACTTCGGCTTTCTGACATTAGTTTTCCCTTCTTGTTTGTGTTGCCAACTGTCATGAAAAGTTCGAGTCGAGAGTTGACCTGAAAAGTGTCACTCTGTGTATTTTTATGCCTTTTTCGACCCGCTAACCCGTTCGCTGCGGGCTTTTCCAGAGGAGCTGGGCAGAGAGAAACACAAAATCCCCAGTCGCCTACCTTGCCACGCCCCTGTGCTCGTTATAATCATAGTCTTTGTTGTCGCTTTTCGTTGTCGGCAAAAATCACTAATTGAACAGAAAACCCCCCCAGAAAACTCTAATCATTATGGGTTTCGAGAATGGTTTTGAATTGAAGCCGGGACACATGGGATAAACGATAACTTTGATGAAAAGTTCCCAAAGGAAGCATTAGGCAGCTCCGTAACTCTATAACTCGAATAAAACTTGTTGAAAAGTATCAAAAATATCTATAAATACACATACATCTTAAAATAAGCATTCTTTTATTTGTTTACTATATAAAAAAATTTAAGTACTTATCGATAACTTTAACGGATGCTTCCCGATGTGGAAATAGACACAAGTGGGTATCAGAAATCCGTCAGATAAGACCACTTCACATACCCTTTAATTCTACGAAAACTCCTCGAAACTTTTAAACAGTGGCCCAAGTGAGAAGAAAATCTGAGTGAAACTTTTCATAAACTTTTCCTGGTAGTTATCGAAAAAATCGATAGATAAATGTGCTGAGAAATTCCTTCGCACTTTTTTCTCCTTTGACCTGCATTTAATTTTTGTTTTGTTTTGTATGGGGGCATTAAAAAGCATATTAAAATACTTATTGAAAACTTTTGGATATCCCAACAAAAAAAAAAAAAATAATAAAATAAATAATAATAATAAATAAAAATAATACAAAACAGAAATAAGCAAAAGTAAGAAGAACTTGCGCAGCAAAAAAGTTTGCCTCTAAAAAGCAATAGCAGTCAAGTGCAAAAAAAACTATCAACTAAAGGAACAAAAGCAAAAACAGCGGCAACAACCAGGAGAACAAACAACAAAACCAACATGGGAAAAAAGAGCTCCAAGTTGAAACAGGATACCATTGATCGCTTAACAACAGACACATACTGTAAGTACAATAAACTGAAATCATAAAATACATGCTAACGATAAAATGGTACAGTGCCTTTCAGTTGTATACTCATACTATAAATCTTTTATGAATAATTGTATACAAGTTTTGAGAAATTCTATAACAAGTTTTGTTTTTTCGAGCTCTTTGTGGTTTATTCATTATTTTAATTAAGAATTGCATAAAATATCCATATTAGAGGTTGTATAAAGCGATATTTTATCGTTATTCTGTATATTTATATGTTTATATCAAACATCGACAGAATACAGTAATATAATATTTTTCGATACATCCATATTTAAATGTTAACTATTCGATATATTTCGATATTTAAAATTCTATATATTAAAGGTTATTATTTTTTTAGAGCTATATTTTTTTCCACTGACTTCTCCTTTGCATATAAAATAGCGGTGCTTGCTTGCATTTCACCGCTGATCTACCTGTTGTTAAAATTATTAGTGAGGTTTTACCATGGAGGAAACCTTAATTTTGTACATATACATTTTTAAAGTAACGTTTAAAGCTAGGCAAAGGTTGGGTAAAATTTTGGGTGGCAAGGGTATATTAACTTCGGCATTCCCAAGCTTACCAATTTGCAATTTTGCATTACAAATTTCAAGAAAATGTTGTAAAAAGGCATAAGAACAAGTCGAAATGGTTAATTTAAAGTGGTACTTCAATCGTTGAGCTTGTTTTGAGCATTTTCCCTTTCCATTTTCCATTTCTCCCTTGACACCTTTAATAAACACTTTATCAATCGCAATTTATCCAGCTTTTCTTTCTTTTCTTTTTATTATTTCCTCATCCACAGTGTCTTTGAGCCAAGTTGTCTCTTCCCTTTTACCTTGTAATAATTCCGTTTTCTTATTTATTTATTTGTTTGTTTTGGCCTGGCATTTATGCTAGTATGAACACAGTATTTTCTCACCCCTCACCACCATCATATATCCCATTCCCCATTTTCCACGATTGGCATTTTCTCATTTTGATTTGTTTTTGTTTTTCGTTTGCCCGAGCATCAATCAAAATACGGAAAGGTGCAGACACTTTTCCGCGTTCCCCCGTTCCAGATATAGGATGCATAATTCAAAAGTGTTTTTCCAGAACTTACTCGATGGCAAACTGACTCATCAGTCTTCGACCGATGGCAATAAAGTCACCCAACTGACGGCGAACATCTGAGCCGGATTCGATTGAGAAACTCCGCCCGGATTAGCCGGCACGGGAGTTCGTCTCGGTGCATAAATGGAGTGCGGATAGCATGTGCTTGCTAGGTCAATTGCCAGGACTCGGGTTCGTTTTCGGTATCGATATCGGTATCGGCTTGGGTTCTCGCTTTTCGCTTCTCCTTTCTCCGTGTTGTCGGAAATCTGGCGAGGCACTTGACATTTATGGTTTAATTTTATCGCTTTTTTGCCGTAGCCACTTTTACTGCTACTTTGTTACATTGACATGTTATTGCTGCTGTAACTGACAGTTGCAGTTATTGCTGCTTTAAGCTGATTTTAGCTAGAAATAATATACCTTTAGCCTTTGCAAGAAGGCGGAAGTCAATAGAGTGTTCTTGACTAGGCGATAACTGATAGGCAAGGCTCTAAGTATTCATTTAAAAGAAAGGAAAAAGGGTAAAAATGTACCTTTCCATAAAGGTTACTTCAAGGAGGGATCTTGGAAAATATCGATAAATGTATACTGCATCGATTTTTGATGCGAAGGTCGATATATGTTTATAAGTGCAATAAATCGATATTCTGTAATATATGGAATGAAATAAATTAAATACATTTTTTCGTAGATTTCGCAATAACTTTAATGTAACTTCGATATTTTCGATATATATAATTTCGCTTTGTTAAAATTTGGATATGATTATGAGCGCCATAAATCGATATCTTGTGTAATATATCGAATAAAATAAAATAAATAAATTTATCGTATATATCGATATTTTCGATGAATAAAATTTCGTATATTAAAGCTTATTATATTTTTAATATGATACCTAATACCTATATTTCCTGTTGGCCCCAATTTATAATACCCTCGTATGGCTTGAGTCCCAGGAATAATAAAGAAAAAACAAATAAATAAACCATTTCAATAGAGTTTCGTATTGATTACAATCCAAAATGCATTAGATATATATTTGCCACTCTTTCATTATTCAAAAAATCAAAGCATGAAGGACTTACAATCACAAGTTTCCTCAAAATTTTAATTTAATTGGTAATTCCAAAAGAGCTTGATAAAATACATTGATTTTAGCTTTTGGCTCTCAAGTTTTCAAGTCTAACAAGAGAATTAAAGTTATTTTGTAAGCAATAAAAGTAACCCAAAATCGCTTGAGACTCTCTATTTAATCCTTAAACAACCCGAGTGAAAGGCAGCCAACTTTCTGTGTGTTTTTTGTTTTGTGTTGTGCATTTGCGACAGCTTCTAGTTGAAGCTTTTCGAGTGCAACAGTCTCCTGGCATTGATATCCTTGCTGCTTTTTTCAGCTTTTAGTGCTCTTTATGTTAATACTACCATTCCGAGCTCACTTTTTACGAGGTCCCCGCCCCGGGCTTAACATTAATTGTGTGCTTTGTTGCTCGGTTTTACCTTTACCTTTAACGATACTGTAGTTTACCCAACTGTTATTGGGGGTTACCTGTTTGTTGTTACCTGTTACCTGTTGTTGTTACTGGCCATACATTTGCCTGTTGTGTTAACTGTTACTATTAGTTACAACATCGCCTTTACGTCTCAAAGAGCCTTTTTTTGCTGTTGTATCTTTTGTGAAGCTTCCCTTCGTTGGCCGCAACTTTGTCCTTCTCCTTTCTGGGCTCCTTACGCTCTTAAGCAGGACATTACATTTACTTAGCGCCCTTCGGTTGCGGCCATTTTGGGGGCTCCTTAAAAATGCAAGTCAGAAACTTTTCAAGCCCCGAAACTTTGTGACTAATTGCTTTTTTTTTTTTTTTTTTTTTTTTTTTTTTTTTTTTTTTTTGCTTTCCATCCCTCTGTATTTTCTTATTCTGTGGTCCCGCCAAGGTTAGGGGTTAAGAAGGGCATATAAATAATTACCGACGGGTATTTGCGGGCACCTGGCCAACAAGAAAAAGGAAGCCAAGGAAAGTGTTGACAGATTGCTGCCAAAGTTTTCAACGTTCCGTTTTTTTTTTTTAATGGGTTTTTCTTTAAGTTATTTGCCTTTCCACCTCCCTCCCTCTCTGGTTTAGTGGAAAATGTGGGCGCAAAAGTAGAGGCTTAGTCCCTGCTTAAATATGCAACTCAATAATTGTAATCCTCTCTCTTTTTCTCTTCCACGAAAATCCCAAATACTGCTGGGATACACTGTTACAGCTGCTGATTGGCCCGGATTTGTTTGGCCAGGCAAAACAAATGAATCAACTAAGGACTCTGTTTATTGCCAACGGGTCGTATGAGCAATTTCTGCTGGCCTCGGTCAATATTTGTTCTGTCCATTGACATGCCAATCAATTGGACATTAAACTCAGTTACGTCTTAACCCTCTGCGCCGTCAGAGGCAATGAAATAAATAAATAAACAGACAGAAATTTGATTAGACCGAGCGAGAAACAGCCAGTACACCAGCCAGTCCCATAAAATGCAAATCCCTTAGTGCGTTTAGGCCACACATTCACTACGAATTAGGGTCCGAACAACCATTTGGCCCACAGGTGTTGTTTTTGCTTTAGTTATGGGTCGGGCATTAGGAAATTTAATTGAATGAGAGGCAAGCCTTTTGATCAAAGCCCTAATTCCACTCAATTTGTTTCATTTGGAGTCGTTGTTGTAATAGTTACTGGAATTGTCAACATTTTTCATGGTTATTTAAATGCTAGTGAGCTCTGCAAAAAAGTAAAAGAGAAAGTAAACAAATGAAAACTAAGTCTGAACTACAACAAAATAACTTGCATAATGCTGATTAAGTTGTACACTTATAAAAATATTATTAGACTTAAGAAAAATTCCCCTAGATTTGAGAGAGCTATATTTTTTCTTGATTTTAGAAATAATTTCATTTATCGAGACTTGCCCTAAATTCTTTGAAATTTGTACTTAGTTCTCGAAAACTTTTCTTAGTTTTGGGGTTTTTTTTTTTAAGACAAATTTTCTAAAAATATTCAAAAAAAGATATATGTATAATTGCAGTTATTCTTATGTTTTCCCCTCGGATTTTTTAGTTCTCCAATGGAATCTAGGGCGACACGCCTTTGGTTCCTTTTAAACGTGAAATTTCAAAGCGAAAATAACTTTTTAGGGCCATTTTGGATACAAATTTTTATAAGTGTAGGAGGAGAATTAAAAATTTACTTTATTTTACAAAGAAATTAAACCAAAAGAATAAGGTTTAGGGGATATATACATAGTTTAAAAATTCATTATATAGATTCGAACATTAAACATACATTTTAAGTTAACTTTTAATATTAATAATACCTTAAAATATACAACAAAAATCCATAAACTTTTGATAAATGTATATAATATTGTATAGCTCTTCTTGTAAATCAAACTGAAATTGAATATATATTAAATACATATTTTAAACAAGCCTTCATTGTATAAAATCAATAACAAAGTTGTATATTAAAGGTTAAAAGAATATGATATGTGAAATATATGAAATATGTTTCATCACTAGTTTCTATGCATAATTGTCATTGTTTGAGTGAGCTAACAGTGCCATATGACAATTGGCACAACGGAATGAATATGTTATGCACGGTCATCGGAGGAATATACATGTATCCCCTTTGAAGGGTGACTGTGGCATGTGTATTCCTTTATATCCTTCAAGGTGAGCCACAGCAGCGCAACCCCCTCTCTCACCACAATTCGATATTTGAGTCATCCGCCTGGCATCCTGCAAAGCTGATCCGCAATCTTTTTCATTCCCAACTCGAGCTGACAGAATGACTCGTGCTATTTGAATGCCCTCTTTGTGTGTGTGAGGGGGGTGTATGGCGTGTGTGTACTATTATGGTGTAAGGTATGGAAATGCAATCCGCTGAATGGGGCTCTGGAACTGGTACTGCTACTGCTACTGATGGCAACAAGTCGTATGAGCAATATGCGCTTTATTTACAATCAATACAGGCGAACAAGTGGAGAAAAAAAGAAGAATAAACCAACAACACACAACGCACAACAATGCTGGCCCGTAAATGCCGTTATATTTTTACATGCCACACGTCAATAATACAAAAAAAAAAAAAAAAGAGAACTGGTGGCCCATTCAGTGTTCAGAGGGGTGTGCAGGGTATTACGATTGCCTGTCTGTCAGTCTGTGTTAGCCAGGCCATATCGATTACCAATCAATTCTGCTCCTGGCGCTGGCTATGGCAATTGTTGACTTCATTGGATTGACATTCCCTTCGGGATAAGGACAACAAATAATGCGGCAACGTTAGGGGGAGGGGATAAACGCACAGAAGAGCTCTTCTTTCTGCGGCTAATTAAAATGCAAATGCTGCTGCGATTCCTTTGCCAGTCAGCTAATCAAAATGAAAAATGATAGCCTAGCTGAGAAGGGTGCAGAAGGGGGGAGCGGGAAAGGAAGTGCACAAGAAAAAAAACCATTATATAAATTTATAATTTATATACTATTTTAGTGTTAAGTAAATAACTTAATCAAAAATAAGATTTATAAATCGATTAAATAAATATTAATAAATAAATTTAAATATATTTTGGAGCAGTATAATAGAAAAAGAGAATATCGATATTTTAATGTTAAATGAGATATTTTTTGATATTTAAAAGTTCGATAGATCAAAGCTATTTGCGATATTTTATTTATATCGTACTTTTATCGATATTTTAATATTCACAGCAATATTTTTCGATAAATTAAAATTCAATAAATCAGTACTTGTGGCATTTTTAATATAATATTAAGTGAGATATTTTGGTCTATGGAATACTTTATTGTATCGATATTTTAAAATTCGTTAGATCAAAGCTTAACTTATTTTCGATTTAATAATAAGCTTGATAATTTTGTTGATACATTTTTCTGCATGGAATATATCCTTATAAAACTTACCATGTAGGGTCTTAAATATCTCCATAGCTGATTGAATTTATAAAACGCTCTGTTAGGTTCTACAACACAAATGATATGTAAAAATATCACCAATTTTGTGCAGTGGACGAATCGCTGGTCCGTTGTTTTTAGGTATCTGTGGAATGGGTCTGCAAATGATATATGAACCACAGCGCTATGAATAATGCGAGTGGCCGCTGCAGATAACTGGGAGCCAGCGAGTCAATAGCCCCATGGTCTCCAGCTCCGGCTCCATTTCCAGCTCCAGTCCTGGTTCCAACTCCCCGGCACCCCCAAGGGGGTGTTACTCCCTGGAGGGTAATGCCTCTGTCCGCCCAAATTGGTGGCCATTGACCACGAAGCGCCCCCTCAAAAGCAATTCCAATGTGTGTAATTTTGCGTGAATTTATGTTTTTATTTTTTCTCTCCTGTCCGTTGACCACTATCCATCGTTGTTGTTGTTGTTGTCCGTTTCGAGAAGGAGTCCGGTCTCCGGACCCTGGGCCGAGAAAACATGTGCGCCATTCACACGCCCAGGATCAGGATACGGCCCCGGTCAGGTTGGCTCCCAAAGGGACAACGGCAGCGGCGTTTAAACGATTGGTAAACGGCCATTAGGCCAACACAACATTTTATGCCATCAAAACAAAGGAAATTGCTATGCATGACTAGCGAGAGGAGAGGAGAGGCTATAGGGGCGGCATATATAGTAATACAGGAGGTTGGGTAAGGCAAAAGAACCAGTGGTCCAAAGACAATGAAGGATAATTTAGGACTTTAACATTTGCATATGAGCTTGAGAGAAAGAACAGACTAAGGTCATCTGCTTTTCCACCAATCAAAGGTCAAATCAATAATGAAATGAATGATAATCTTATTTAACTGAATGCGAAATATTTAAGCTGACAACAGATATTTTATTTATTAACCAAAGAGCTCAGAGTATCGTTTACAGAAATCTGTAGGACTTAAAATTCCTCACAAAATGTGAATAAAAGTAAAATACAACAATTTATTGGGAAGAATAAATAAAAATTTGTTAGAAGAAATTGTGAATAAATATTTTTTATATGTTTTCTATAGGCTACTACTAAGTACTAAGTAACTTATTATACAAAAAAAAAAAAAAACAGAATTACACTTAAATAAATACCTCAAGCAATTTATTTTATACTTTCATGCACCCTTTAAAATCATTTCAAATTTTAAAAATATATAAAAAAGAGTTTTTGAATATATTTTTATATAAATTTTATATTTTAAAATTAACTTGATTTTGTTTTTAATTCTAAAAATTCTATATATAACATTTTGCTATATTTTTGATATGAAAATAATATATATATGTATATAAGTTGTTTAGATGCACAATTTTTAGTAAAATTAAACATTTTTTAATTGATAATATAATTGTCAATATAAAACAGATTTTTTTTTAACAATAAATTTAAGATTTTCCAACACCAAAAATTAAATATATCTATGGTATTTCCTATAACAACCATAATAGCTTGTAATACAATTTCAAACTTTAACTTTCCACAACACTCCAAGTAAACAATGTGTAACCGATATTATACATTTTTAATAAAATCCAATTACATAAAATAAATACTTCAACCTGCTCAATTTACTGAAACGCACTGTACCATTAAGGCGAGAGGCAACCGCCCACCTTCAGAGCTTGTGGGCGCGATATATATGTATATATATATATCTGCTAAACCACCTCAAAATAATCCACAAATAATCCACTCGCACCTTGTAAATATTTCAAATGCCGCATAAAAATTTAATTCACTTCGATTTTCTGTTTGTTTTCATTTGCAGTCACAGAGAAAGAAATACGTCAATGGTGAGTTTGTGTGCGGCAAATAAGAGGCTTGGGAAATATGCCAGCAGCGGGGGCCATAAACATATTTGCCAAATTTGTGTTGAATATTTCTATATATACATATATAAAAAAAAACCAAACTCCTCTTTCCCGCCAGGCACAAAGGATTCCTGAAAGACTGTCCCAATGGCCTGCTCACAGAGCAAGTAAGTACTTTGCATCCTTAAGGATAACATGACATGTATCTCGAGTACGAGACCATGTGTGTGTGCCCGTGCGTGTGCTCCACCTGAGCGTGGCCAATTCATTTAAGTCAAACGGCTAATTTAGTTACTTTCCGCCATCCGTGAGAGCCCCCAAACCCCCCAACCCCCGAAGGCTCTCGATTTATGTAAGCTAATTCCAACAACGGCAGCAACATCAGAGACATGGGCGCCCCCCTCCTCCTTGGAGTTCCTGAAGTTCGGTATTGGCGCCTGCTCTTGGGTTATTGCCAGATGTGTTGACGACCCCGGCTGCTAATGACAATGCTTTTGTTGCTGTCGCCGTCGGCTGTTATTGTTGTTGATAATGAAATGTATTAATGCGAGCATTATTCAAACACAAACCTTAACTCTCAACGACATGTGTGCCAGGCTTCTAATTGATTCATTCACATTTCTTATTTCTTCTTTGCTTGGCTGTTCTTGCTCTCTTTTTCTATTTCTTCTCTATTTCTCTTCCCTCTACTATCTAATTTCCTTTATCTAGGGCTTCATAAAAATCTACAAACAATTCTTTCCACAAGGCGATCCCAGCAAATTCGCCTCGCTGGTCTTTCGGGTCTTCGATGAGAACAATGTGAGTATGCCTTTCCCCAAAAACAAACTCCTCTCAATCCTTTTTCCTTAATAAAAGGCAGCTGACCACGCCCTCAATAGGAATTAAATTGCAACAGATTATATTTTTTTTCAGAATAATAAAACTTTACTAAGTACTTTACTTTATATAAATAATTGTCAGTCTGCTTAGGCATCCTGAACTCCATATTTTTCAAACGCCTTTGGGGTATGCAACACTTTTGGAGTGAGTGCCACGGGTATTCCATAGTCTGTCCTCTTCCCCTATAAAGCTGACGTTGGCGAAAAATGTTCAGACAGCCACAAAATAAACTGATTTCAGCAGGTTAATGTCCTGCCCTAACCGCTGTTACCCATTTATGAGATGGGTGATCATAAATTCCTTGCGTTCTTCTTGTTATTCTTTTTTATATACATCTAAATATATATATATATAATTTATGGCTCATGGGCGTGGTCTGCCCCTTTGCTCCCCACAACCACAGAATGTCAACTGTCTGATGTCTGCACTGATTTGCTTTCTTTGTCTCTCCGTCTGCCTGCGTGTGTGTGTGTGTGTCTCAACTTCTGTGCGGATATGTGTTTGTGTGCGTGCCTGCTTTTTTCTTTCTTCCTTTTGCTCTTTTCTTTGTCTCTTTCTTTCCCTCTCTCTTTATTTGGTGCTGCCTCCAGGATGGCTCCATAGAGTTTGAGGAGTTCATACGCGCCTTATCCGTTACATCGAAGGGCAACCTGGACGAGAAACTGCAGTGTAAGTTTTTATCATCTCTCTTTATAATGTCCCTCTCCTTGTATTACTTCTTATCCTTGTCCTCTTTCTTCTCCTTTGTTTACTCGTGTTTTTATTCTTTTTTTATTTTTTCCCCTTTCTTATCCCCCCCCTCTTCTTCTCCTCTTCGGCCTTCTAATCCTCCTTCTTCTCCTCCTTTTCCCACTTCTAAATTTTGTATCCTCCTCCTTTTTTCCTTTTTCTCCTTATCCTCCCGTTCATTCCCTTTCTCCTCTTCCTTCTCCGTTTTCTCATATATTTTCCCCTTTCTCCCTAACTCTCCCCCTCCTACTCTTTATTTTCCTTGTATTTCGCCTTATTCTTCTTATTCTCCTCCCTCTCTTCTTTCTCTTCCTCCTTACCCTTCTACTTTTCCCATCTCTTGTCTTCCTTATGCTCCACTTCTCCTGCTCTTTATCCCCTCCACTTTCTCTTTATCCTCCTCGATCTCTACAAATGATTTTAAATCACATTTCTTTCTTTCTTTTTGTCTTTCGTAGGGGCTTTCCGTCTCTATGACGTGGACAATGATGGCTATATAACGCGCGAGGAGATGTACAACATCGTGGATGCGATATATCAGATGGTGGTAAGTGGTGTTAACTTTTCAGAAAGAGAACCAATGAATTATCACTTATTATTACACTGTGCTTCATGATACTGAATGTTTCTACACTGACAAATTTACTTTTAAAGTTCCCTTTAACCCTTATTTGGTCTAACCAATTTCTGCCTCATTCCTCTCTCTTCTTCAGGGCCAGCAACCGCAGTCGGAGGACGAGAATACGCCGCAGAAACGTGTGGACAAGATCTTCGATCAGATGGATAAGAATCACGATGGAAAATTAACATTAGAAGAATTTCGTGAGGGTAGTAAAGCTGATCCACGTATAGTTCAGGCGTTAAGTTTAGGTGGTGGTTAAATCGATAAACAAATGCCCGATTACCGATAACAGACCCAATTCCAATTCAAAAAAGAAAATATTAAAAAACAAAAATAAGCGTGCAATAAACCATAAACGATACTGAAATTGAAACCGTAAACATTTTTGAACAAAAAAAAAAAAAAAAAAAAAAAACAAGCTAAAGAATAACGAAAAGCCTAAAAGCTAAACAAAACGAAAATCTTAGTTTGCATTCGCTTCTTCACTTTTCACTCTCTCTTCTCTCTACGCTTTTCTCGATTCTTGATTCCCGATTAATATCGATTCTCCGCGCGTCGATTGCGATACTGAAGATGATAATAATTTTTTGATATATTGTATGAATATGCATAACGAATAACTGAACGAGAGGGAAGAAGCCCCCAATAAAAATTGAACAGAAAACGAAAATTCATTTTTAAATATACACCAGAATCTGAATATATAGGATATCGTCGCGTAGTCAGAGCGCAGTTCATAGCAATAAAGGGAAAAACCAAAAACTAAAAAACAAAACGAAAACAAAAACGAAATTTAAAATAAATGAAAATACAAAGTAAATTAATGCTAATTTCAAATTAAAACGAAATGTGTGAGGCGCAAATCAATTTTTGAAGCATACACCAATTACGAGTAAACTAATTAAACCTACGAATAAATCAGCATAATTATATTATACAATTAAACCATACAATTAGAGCCGAACTAAGCCTACGAATCAATTGCGCAGCCTTCGAAGCGAAAGCCAATAAAAAAACAAAAACAAAACGAAACAAAACAAAATAAAATAAAACGAAACAAAACAAAGCAAAAACAAACAAACTATCTAAGCTAACCGAGTTATCACAGCTCGATCCCAGTCAGCTAATTCCACTCGCGACATCAAATAGCAGCCACTATATCCACATCTATAATATATATAGCCACGTGTATGGATGCGCAAAGTGGCCGCAGTGACAGGACGAACAGGGGTGAAGTTAAGGGATATATGTCTGGATTAGGGGACTACGAGAGGTTAGGCTAAATGGGTTATAAATCAGTTACACTTTTATATATATGTCAGGCAGCCAGTCCCCCGTTTCTTCTCACCTGTGTCTCTGTTAACCCCCCTTGACTCAGAAGAAAGTAATACCGCAAAAACTGGACACCAGAATATATATATATATATATATATATATTTCTCTCTTCAAATAATGAAAACACTTTCTTTGGCTTATTGCAAACAATCTACTTAGTTATAGTTATTATATATTATGCTATAAGACCCTGAGCTGCTTGAGGAAAGGTTTGTCTCTTTTATTGCAGCCCATCTCCTATTTATTCCAGCTGCCTTACAGCCATGAAACGCACTTTGACCCTTCGAAGAGAAAGAAATAAAAAACTTGAAATGAGATACAAAAGGCAATCAAGTTTTCGTTAGAATTAGAATTCAAATAGTGATTGCAAAAAGTGTTGCATACCCGACAGGCGCTGTTAACAAAACAAGTGTTTGCTTTTGTTTGCTCTATCTCTTTCTCTATCTTCTCTATCTCTCTCTTTATATACATATATATATATATTTCTCTGTCTCACTATCTCTTCTACGCTCCCTAGTAAATATATCTCTATCTGTATTACCAGCTTTGCCTTGTTTTCTGTTAAGCGTTTTACGTTTCCAACAACAATAACCATTAACAGTAACAACAACAAGAAACCATAACCAAAAAACAAGAAAAAAAAACAACTAGAAAACTAGAAAACCCAGAAACAACAACAACACGTACATATTGACAATAGGCGGAGACAAAAACAACAACAACAGCAACAGCAAGCGGTGAAGGATAAAGGTCCTCGAACTGGCACCAGAAATAGCTGCGAAATGAAGAGATTAATAATTGATAAACTAATCAAAGAACGCACATCTACAACATCAACAAAAACTACTACTATGAACATGAACATATATACACTTATGTATGTATATCCGTCTATATATCCAACAAAAAAAGATAAATAACCCACGAGAAGCAGATGAAAAATAGAGAAAGAAAGATACATATATATATTATATGTTATGTGTCAAGGACAAAGTTGGAGCTGTAGAAAATAACAATGAACAAAATCCATCATACGATTTAATTTCTATTCTATATGCGGTTCAGCTTTATTATTGCATTGATTTTTCAATAAACCAATCAACCGTTTTTACTATTCCGATGACTATCTATAAATACGAAACCATATACACATCCGCTTACACTCACTAAACCCGTTTCGTACTCAGTAATTAGTATTTAGTGTTCCAGTATTCAGTATTCAGTATATCCTGTATTCCAGTATTCCACTATTCCAGTATACCCAGTAACAGTACTTTCCCATAAACACAAATACACCCACTACACTTGTGCCATGGCTAGAAGCAAAGGCAGTAAAAATAATAAGATAAGTAGCGCCCTTGCATAGCCTTCTCGCTCTCACAAAATGGAGAGACTTAAGTTCAAGAGAGCAAAAAAAAAGAACAAAAATACCAAAGGCGTTACGCATCTTATTCTTTAAATTGTCCTTGCTAAATCCATCTAGTTACTATTTCTTGGTATTATTTTGCCTGCTTTGCCTTTTCTTAATCTGATTGAAAAACAATTGAGCGACTTACGTTTTCCTTTAACTTTTCCTTTATTCTTTTTTTCTTTTCCTATGCTTTCCATGTCTTTTGACTTTACAGCACCGATCGAAATGATAACAAAAAGAAATGAAAATTGATGACAAAAAATGCAAACATGCTAACCCCAAAATACTTCCCACACCAACAAACACAAGCACACACAAACACACACACTCATATAGCCACACGTATGTGTATATATATATACGCCTCTTAACTTATATATACCCTAAATATATATAGTAAGCACTGCAATCGAAAGCCAGTTAAGGAAACTCTACAACAAAGCTACTAAACTTAACTACAAAAAAAAAGAAGAAACGAATACAAGAACGCTTCTATAAACCTCACTGAAATTCTTCGAAGAAAACTAACACACAGACTCACATACACACACACACACACACACACACTTGTACGAGTATATTAACAATAAACGTAATGCGAAAACTTAATCAATAATTAAATAATTCGAAAGTGATATAGCTGACAAAACAAATGTGTCTGTAGTCTAGTAGTTAAAAGAAATTGATGAAAATGCGAAACGAGAAACAAAAGAAATCATTTATAAATAATATTACAAAAACTATTGAATGACAGAGGTTGGGGTTTTTTTTTGTAAGGAGATGCCTAAGCAGCAAAAATAAGTAATGAAACAAAAAAAAAAAAAAACGTAAATAAATCAAGCAAATCAAACTGTAAATAACACTAAGTGAATCACGCACACCAAAACACAAACACCAAAACACCAACACCAACACCAACACCAACACCAACACCAACACCAACACCAACACCAACACCAACACCAACACCAACACCAAAACACCAACACCAACACCATCGCATACCCCAACACTCATATACACACCCCTACACATACAGAAAAGTACCGAATAAGTTTGTTAACACCAAAATCTAACGGGTCTTAAGTAAAGAAATAAAAAAGAAAACGAAAAAAAAAAACAAAAGAAAATAGGAGAAAAAAATCAGTAAGCTAGAGCAAAGAATTTTTTTTGTGGATTGAAATGAATCAAGTCAATTGTAATAGCCGAAAAAAAAAACAAACAAAAAAATATATAAAAATAATTTAATATTTATATTAATTTACAATGGACAGGTGAGAACAGGATAGAACAAAATAGACAAGCACAGACGCGTCTCAGATGAAGTTGAAGTTGAAGATGAGTTTCTTTCCACCGCCGTTGACAAACCACACGAATGTCAAGTTAAACGTTTCACAAGCAATATTTTACATACTTATACATGCATTATATACATATATAAATATATATATATATATATATATATGGACAAAATATATATATATATATATATAATAATAATAATAATAAATATACGATAATAAATATATATATATAAACTTATATACACACAACTCCGCAGAAAATAGAAATAATTTGAATATTGCAAGGCAGATGAAGGCACACAACCAGATATTCCAGGAAGGAATATATATATATATATAACATGATAATGCGAACATAAGAAAATACGAATATATAGACGTAAACAAGATGAAAGCAAAGGAAATTTACAAACAACAACAACAACATTTTTAGTGATATTCTTTAGCAAACTTGAATCTGATTTCTTTTTGCTAAGAACGAAAACGAAATGTAAAAAGTCAAGAAGAATTCAAGAAGAAAAAAAAAACAAAGAAAAGAAAAAACGAAATAAAAAAACAAACAACAATTAAGGCAATGTGCGTATATTTTACAAAAAAGAAAAGAAAACAAAAAAATGTAACTAAAACCAAACAAGAAAAAAAAAAAACAAAAATGGTAAAAGAAAAGAAAACTCAATTTTTTTCCTGGGCTCTTCAGTTTGTTTGTTATATCTCCTTTGTACTACTCTATATTTACCGTCATTTATCATCATTATTATTATCACCGAGCTGATTATACCGATTGTTATTATTATTATGATTATTGCAGCCTCGAGAATTACGATTATTGTGTAAACACATGCAAAAACTTATAAGAAAAACGAAACAAAAAAAAAAAAAAAAAAAAAACAAAAACAACAAAAAACACAACACACACACACACACAGAACCTTTATAGAACAAACAAAAATGAAAATCAAATTCTTTTACCAAGCAAAAAAAAAACATAATTATTTTTTTTTAAGTAATCGCCTATGGGGGAATGGAAAATTTATCTTGTTACTGTCAGAAAATATTACTTACTTCAAATAAAAATTTTAAAGCGAGATCAAGCGAGCAGGCGTTTCTTTTGGAGCCCTAGTTCCTCTTTTTTGGTAATTATTTAGATTGAGGTAAGTCCTGGGATCCTTGACAGCTGCTCGGGGACACCTTTAAGTACTTTCCTCTCCCCTTAAAAGTTTTGGGCTTAATTGTCGAGTTCCAGCGGGGGCACACACTATACAGTTGGCCTGAACTCTGGAGCGTTTTGTTTAATGGCTATTAACTGTTATGTTATGGTGGCCCCGGTGGCTGGCACACGTGGCGTATGAGCAATCAACGAAGACAGCTACATGGAGATTACATGGATTACGTATACGCAGCGTAAGTACATAAATGTATAATGTTTGCACAAAGCAAACTTCAAGTGTGTCTAGAGATGGTCATGCTGACATGTTAACAGAATGTAACAAGTTTGGTCAACTTTATTTGCCAGATTGATGTCGTACTTAATACTAATTGATGTCCTTACATGTCAAAGTCTGCATGTGTGTGCGTGTTTGTGCAAGTTTGCTCAAATGTAAATTGTAAATTGACAGCAAAATAATTTGAAGTTTAAAATCAACAATTATCGAAATAAAATTGTATTATTATTATTAAAAATAAAAAGTAATAGAATATTATAAAATATAACTATAATACCCTGCAAGGTTATTGTAGTGAACTGACAAAAGTAAGGCACTTGGACATCTGGGCTATAATCAAAATATTATCAAACTTGATAATTCTTTGGAAATATTATTTTTAATTTTTTTTTAAATTTTAGAGTTAGCTTTTTTATTTGCTCTTTATACTAGGTACCTCCAAGTCGAGCATTATAGCTTTCCTACTTGTTCGTTTCAGTTTAGAGTGAAAAATAGTAAATAATTCTTTAAAAATATTATTATACATATTTTTTTAATTTTAGAGTTAGCTTTCATACTTGTTCTTTACACTAGGTATCTCCAAGTCGAGCATTATAGCTTTCCTACTTGCTAATTTCAGTTTAAAGTGAAAAATAATAAATAATTTTTTAATTTTAGAATTAGCTTTCATACTTGTTCTTTACACTAGGTATCTCCAAGTCGAGCATTATAGCTTTCCTACTTGTTCTTTTCAGTTTAGAGTGAGTGTATTTCATTGTTGATTACTTTTTGAGGTTTTGGGTGCGTGTCGCGGGTGTTGGAAATTTGAAATGAATTAGTAATGAATGTATCCCACAGATACGGATACTAACCAACGAATGCGCTGACTGAGGCAGCGACAGCGACTGCGGCAGCGGCAGCGACGTCTGTTTATCTAGGCAGCCCAACTATTTATAATAAAAGGCAACCAGATTAAAAACCAAAATAGATCCTGTATATGCAGCTGCATCATCTGTAGCCGAATGCGAATGTATCTATACAACTCGCTTCATTGCTGGGCCGGTAAGCGCAAAGAAAAGCAATGCTTTTAGGAATTAACTCGACCATGAAATACCCGGCAGTGCCAAGGTTATACAGTTTAAGAGCAATATATTTTATTTGCTTGACTTATCAACTTGTTGGATAACATTATATATATCTATTTTATATTGAATTGTTTTCTATATCTCAGATACAATATACCCGACTTATGCCAGGAATAACTATATACATCTTGATATATAAAATACAATAAAGAAATGAGACAGAGGCTGGGGAGAAATGCGAAAATAATGGCACGCAAGTGAGAAACATTCGAATTAACCACATTTTTACATTATGTAGGGAATGCCCCCCGGTCCCCGCTATCCAACTATGTATGCAGTATAAATAAACAGTAATTATAATTGGCTCGTTTTGGGATTCGAATATTCGAATTCGATTCGATTCGATTGGATGACGCGATTCCGCCTGCTAACCCTCGGAGGTGGGCCTATTAAATTCCCCTCTTATGTACGCAATTGCGAATTTATTCTTCGCACGTTCGCCACATTGGAGGGAGAAATGCAAATTGAAATAGGAAATGAGTGGCCAGGCCAGTCATGGCAATCATCCGATTCGATTCGATCCGACGATCTGTCGCCGTTGTCGATCTACAGTCGGAAAAAGTTACTAATGAGTTCTAAACAGACCTCAAGGAACTATTAAATTGGGAAAACAAATAAGAGCAATTAGAGTCGATTATAGGTTTTCTTGAAGATGCATAATTGCATAATATGCGATATGTATATATCAAGATTTAGGATTAGTTTTATGCAGGAAGCAAGTGATTATCATGGAAAATGGATCACGGATCATGAAAAATATATACAATCGTGGACATAAGTATTTTGACATAAATAAAAATTCACATTTTGTGTTGTAAACTTTAATTTATTTATCCAAAAAAGATCAATGAAATTTATTTATAACAATAGTGTAATAAGACAATAAAAAACAACAAAAATATTACATTTTATATTACATCTTATAAACTAAAAATACAAATTCATTAAAGTGGGAGGCCAAATGTATTTTGACATAACCTAATTTGTTAGAAATTTAATCTGAATTGCAAAAAATGTTAATAATGAGTAGAAATTAGTAAAAAATAATCCCTTCTCTGGCATCTACTACCTTTTGTAATCGTGTTGGAGCAGATTTGACTAAATTTTGAAGCGTTTCAAGGTAAATTTCCTTCCATAGTCCTTCGACTTAATAAATTGTCTCCTCTCAAGTTCTTGTTAAGTTTGGACCCTCATACGTTTTGAGATCGGGACTTTTGGGTGGCCAATCTAAAGATTTTACTTCAAAGTCCCTGAAAAATGTTGTTATCATTTTTGCTTTGTGGCATGGAACATTATCCTGCTGCAGGATAAAGTCTTGCCTGTTAAGTCTGTCGCCGGTAAGAAATTCGTGGTCAATCAGGATATGCAAATTCATCGTCCCATTGATGGGGACCAAATAACCGATACCGTTAAAGCAGAAACATCCCCAAAACATGACACTGCCGCCACCATGTGGTATACGTTGAATGAGAGGTACCACTTTCTTGCGAATATTTTTTGGTAATCTGCAGTAAATTTTATTTTTTGAACCATGGTACTCAAAAGAACTCTCATCGGTCCACAACATTTGTTCTCAAAAGGATTTGGCAAAGGCTAATCGTTTCAACTCATTTTTAAGTGAAATGAAAGGTATCTGACGGGCCACATAAGTAGCAAAGTTAGCCTTTTTAAGTCTTCTTTCAACTGTTTTTCTACTAATTTAAAAATCATAATCGTTTTGAACTTCCATGGAAGCTGGATTTGGTATAATAAGGTCATTATCTTTAAATTTTGAAAGAATTAGACGATCTTGTTTAGGCGAAGTCTTGCGTGGTCGCCCTTTTGTCTGTTTATATTTGTTAATTTGATAGTAAATGGTTTGTCGGGGTACTTTATAAAATATGCTGAGGTTCTGGACCGAAATACCTGAGTGGTACTTAATTACTATTTCGTTTCGCTGGATTTGGCTTAGCTCCCGTGTTTTACCCATATTTTCATTAAATAACGGTACAGAAATTAGGAAAATTGACAAAAATGTATTAAAGCTGCTAACAGATTAATAAGCCTGAGTTATAAATAACAATAAACTGTTTTTAATGCACACGAAACAAATGAGAACTAAATGAATGCAATGTCAAAATATTTTTGTCCACCCAAAAATGCATGATCTCTCACATCACGTGACATAGCAAAGAAGTTAATTTACTTATCAGTGTCATATTTTGCTCTCTTAAAGTTTTAAATAGAATCTCTTACTGCAAAGTTAAATGGATCCCATAACTTTTACGAGTACTAAGATACACGCGCTGGAATATAGCTAACAGCTGTGTCAAAATACTTATGTCCACGATTGTACATATATAGTTATTTTCAAATACATTTAAATACATATTCCCAAAATATCCGACTAACTTGACGACAATTTCCAAGAAAAACTGATCCCAGGCAATAAAAAGCTTAACTAATTGATTCGGTTTTATGGCACACTATACACTGTGAGTGATAAGACCGAAAGTTAAAAATAAACCAAAGAGCACAGAGATCGGTGAGTATTGCCTGCGAGAATAGAAAAACATATGGTATGAGCTGGGAAAACTGAATGATAAGGCGGCTAATGGGAAGCTAGTCAGAGCATATTCAGGGAAAAAGTGTTTTTTGATAGATCAAAAGCAGCATCCGCGGAATTCGACGGAACGGCAATCCATCGTATTTGCAAGATACATAAACAGTACGTTTGATTTCGTATCCGTTGCTGTGCAGATACAGTATCTGAAGCCGTAAATGTAGCTGTAGACATACAGTATCTGAATCTGTATCCGCATCGGTAGCTGTATCTGTATCTGTAGCAGTTGTTGTATCTGTATCCGTATCTGTATCTGCACCCAGCAGACAAAAACGTACGTTTTTGATATTGAAAACGATAGTTTTGCGGGTTTGAAGTGGACAAAACGCCCGATTCAGGCTCATAAACGATAATAAAGTTAATCACCTATCATGGGTTTTGTGGCAGAAAATGTTATAATTTTCGGAATCCGAATAAGATTTCGATTGCAGACCTTTTATCATTATCGAGTATAAACCTGAGAATTCGCGATACTCGTCCGCTATTCATCCGTTTGCCCGTCCGTTTTTGATCATTTAGCGAAACTAAGCGAAAAATCAGAATTTTTTGCCGTGTTTAATATTTTTAGCGGACATTTTTCGGATCCATCCGCAATAAGTCCGCTGTTTGTCTGCTGGGCAGTTGTATCCCAGTATCTGTGGTTTTATTGTTTATTTGCTTGCCGTTTGCCGTTTGCCGTTTGCCTTTTGTTATTTCTTATTTGTTTTCAGTTCGTTTTTTTTTCGATTGTTTTTTTATTTTTGTTTTCGGCAGAATTTTTATTATTTACTATATTTAGGCAGAGGCCATTGGGGAAGAGTAGCCACATAGATTTATAACAATATATCTAACCAACAATTAGTCATCGGCGGAGGCACCTGCAAGAAATGCAAAAAAAAAAAAAAAAAAACAGTACATTTTACAATTGCTCAATCGCTCTGCTTCAATTGACGTTGCTGCCAGCGTCGACTGCGGCAGCGACTGCGACTGCGACTGAGGGCTAAGCTATTTGGCGCTACTTCTGGCATTCGATTGCCATTCGCACAAGTTGCATGTTGAACTCGCGACTCGCCTCGGTTTCCTCATTGTTTATTTCTATTCTTCCCGCTCTCTTTTTACTTCGTTTTTATATATATATATTTTTTTATTTGTGTTTTGTTTTGTGCATATTTTAAATCACTTCCCCCATCACTTTCGCCCTAATTAAATGTGCGCGCTAATGCGTTAAACGGTTTCTGCAATTTGCCTTTGAGCCGAAAACACTGTGTGTTTGGTGTGTGTGTACTGGTGTGTGTATACCCGTGACTGTGTGTGCGTGTGTGTGTGTACTCCTGTGGAAATTACATTTATAATTACGCTTAATCCGTCGATTACTCTCATCGCAAACAGCGGAACCAAAAAGACTAACCGCAGCGTTCGCTGACCGCATTCCTGTGTTTTGCCAGGTATGTGTCCATAACCCTAACCCCCAAATAAACATGATTATTATCCTCCGGTTATACATACAAATATACATATGTACATATATATGTCAGCGGAACTGATAATTAGTTAGACCGCCCTTAGGGGGGGTGTATAAATGGTTTACAGTTTCATTCCAATTTGCGGGTGTCTTTGGGGAGATATTTCACTGACAAACGACTTTGTGTGGGTTCCACTTCGGGAATTATATGTACTCCAGTTCTTCGAGATCGAGTGGCAAGGGTTAATCTACTTTAATCCGCTTTAATCTGTGGCCTGCCAAATCTGTAGTTTTCTTATGACTAATCCAAGACAAATCATTGGTTTAAACTGAAGGATGGTTAACATTTAATGCAATAAACATGGATTTAATTAATTTATTTAATTTAACCAATTTATAAGGAGCTAATTATTTTTTTTTTACAAATTTATTAATCTTCGGTTAGCTAAAACCAAAGCCAAATTATCTGTAAGCTGACAAGACTTTTTAAAAATATTTGAAACATGACCTATTCGCAGAGCAATATAAATAGGGAAGGTGCCTATAACGATAGGAAAAGTGAGATATGATTTATCTACAAAAATATATCGATAGAAAATATCGTAAACTATATTATGTCCAAAATTTAAATAGCGAAATATTTCAATTTATATTAATTGATCGATATAATTGAAAATATATTAACGATTAATATAACGAAGTTATCGAAAAATCGTTAAAATATTGCATTTAAGTTAAAAATATCGATGCTTTTGATAAATACTTGAAACATGTTTTTATATATATTTGTTTTTCACTTTATCAACTACATATATTGCTTATTTAACTAATAAATGTATTGCGCTTTATAAATCGACTTTGGCAGCAAATATCGATACTTTTATATTTTCAGCTATCCCTAAAATAGATATTATTGACGTATTATTATTTCTATAAACTATAAACTATAGCTTTCTTCACAAGTAAAGACCCTCAGCCTTAAATAATTCTTACCGAATAAGTAGCATATTCTATTAATATTTTGTTTAATTGTTTGATCTTTATAAATTAATAAAAAAAAAGCATTCTACCCTTAAAATTTACTGCAGAAGATGTTTTTCCTTGAGTTGCGATTACATTGAAATCATTAATAAAAGATAAAACGAATGTGGCTGTAAAATAATTTGTTTTTCTGAGAATTGAAAGGTCAGAAAGCTAATAGAATTGATGGATAAAACGATTTCTTAGTTTATTATACCCTTGCAGGGTATTATAATTTCAGTCAGAAGCTTGCAACGCAGTGAAGGAGACGTTTCCGACCCTATAAAGTATATATATTCTTGATCAGCATCAACAGCCGAGTCGATCTAGCCATGTCCGTCTGTCCGTCTGTCCGTCTGTCCGTCTGTCTGTCTGTCCGTCTGTCCGTCTGTCTGTCTGTCCGTCTGTCTGTTTCTACGCAAACTAGTCCCTCAGTTTTAAAGCTATCTGAATGAAACTTTGCATATAGTCTTCTATATGCTCTCACTGCTATATATGTCGGAACGGGCCGGATCGGACGACTATATCATATAGCTGCCATACAAATGTTCGATATATTTTTCGAAAAAAAATTATAACTTTGCTGTTTTTCAATATTTTTCCACCATTTTTTAGATGTGGCCACTATATATTATTTCTGAATTTTGGTAAAAATTTTATGAAAATCGGACGACTATTTGATATAGCTGCCATAGGAACGATCGGGAAATTAATAGGAAAAAAATTACAGCTTCGTTGTTTTTCAACGTATGTTTATCTACTCTGGGATATAAGCTTTTTTTATTATTCTAGAATTTTGGTATAAATTTCATAAAAATCGGACAACTATATCTTATAGCTGTCATAGAAGCGATCGGTAAATGTATAAAATATGTAAAGCTGGGAATGTAAAACTGAAATTGTCAAATTGTAAACATAATAAGTATAGGTAAAATGTAATGAAACGCTGTTTTGTGAGTCTTTTCAGCATTTAAATCTATAATATAAACATCGAAACCAATCTGCAAGGGTATACAAACTTCGGCGTGCCGAAGTTAGCTTCCTTTCTTGTTTCATTTCATTTTTATTTTCAAAAATTTTTAGGCAAGTTTTAAATGAGGCAAAAAAACAAAAAATATATACTCAGGCATAGTTTTCTTTATTTTTATTTTTATTATTTATTTTATTTTTATTACCTTGGTATCTCGCTATAAACACAAATCCAGATAATTACAGTGGCATAAAAACTGTTAAAATGTAAAAAAAATAGAAGTATGACAATTTTATTTGCTAATAACTTGTGTGTTTGTTAATCAATTTTATTAAAATTTTCAAATTAATTTTACACAAATTTACCTATGACAAATCTAATTCAAGATTTAATTAATTTCATATAACTGAAATTAAATTTTATTTTAATTATAGGCCTTTTTTGGCATTTATTCACAGTGTATTCAAATAGGAAAATCTCAAATATTTCTATTGCAAACTTAGGGAAAACAAATCGCATTAAATGAATATCTTAAACATTACAGCTTCATGTTTTCCTAATTACTTCATTTTCTCACATTTTGCTCACTTTCGCGAAAGGCGTTTTCCGCCCAAAAGGTGTCTGAATTAACCTCACAGTCCCCAGTCTGTAGATCTCTCCCAAGCCCCACCACCAGCCCCTTCTAACTATCCTCTCTACCCTCCAGCTCCCCCATCCACCATCCCCCCCCCTCTCTATGCCAGCTCGAAGTAAACAGCATTCGAGGGTAGTGTAAACAATCATTGACCTCGTTCATATTTCTTGGAGCGTTCACTCATTTGCCTTTGGCCCGAGCCCCAGACGTTGACTCTGCCTGGTCGCAATTAAAATTGTTGTTTAGCTAGTTGCCTCTGGACGGCTCTTCAGAGAGCCAACCTACCCTCCCCCCCTTGAGTTAGTCGGGGGGGATTTCGAAGAGAATCATTCGGTAGGCCGACAGGCAGTTTTGGAACCAATTAGCCGCCAAGAAAAAGAGGCAAATATCTGATTCTGTTGCGATTTCACTACCCCGGCAAAATGATGATGAGCATAAAGCACAAAAGGCAAGAAGCCAGAAGGAATTGTAAGGATTCAGGAGCCGACGAAGAGGCGCAGAGCTGAAAAGAGCCAAATCACGATAGGCTCAACGGCAAAGACACAGAAAAGTGAAATAATCAAGGCTAGCAGAGGGGGGAAAACACTGACATACCGAAGTTTAAAATACGCTTTTATAGTTATTAATATTTTTTTTAATATTTTTACTTTATTTTAAACATTTAACTATAATTGTCTTGATGTAACTCAATATAAAACTCACTGGAAATTCCTCGTTAGATACTGTTAAATATAGGAATTTCATACATCTATACTATATTCCCTCTCTTAGCTGATGTACCCTCTGTTTTTTTATAGAGCATCCTGCCTTGTCCTGAGGCTAGCGAACCGAGAGGAAAGTTTAAGCGGCATATATAGCCAGTCCACACACAGACACACATTCTCTATAGCCCCTTGGCCGGGGGCCTTAGCCCGTGGCCCAATATCGAGGCAGGCAATCAAGGATAACGCGCATTATCCCGAGGCCCACATATGGGTAGGAAATGAGTAGGGTCAGGGGGTTGGAAATTGGTATTTTGTATGGATGTGTGTGTGCGTCGCCAGCGTAGAGCTGGTTTAGCATTTTTATGCGTCCCGACCTCCAGGAGCAGACTTTTACCCCACAACCCCTATACATCTATCGCCCAGCGCCTGTCGTGGCCTACAGAGACATTATGTAGTTGGCTTTATCGCAAACGATTTGCCAAACACAATATGACGTCGGCCAGGACCTAAGACGACGACCAAGACCACGACCACGACCAAGACCACGACCAAGAACAGGACCAAGTCAATGGCAATGACAATGGCATGGACCACAGAACCCACACACACACGCGAGTCAAAACCCACATGTGTGTGTTAGTTGAAAGGCGACAAAAGTGTTGGTGTCTATAAATACACTATTAATTTCCAACTCAGTGATGTTAGAATTCCCAACTGGTTAAAGCTAGGAACTCCAATATCAGGGTTTCATTTAAAAATATCGATATTATTGCAATCGTAATATCGTATTATGATTACTTCTTTATAACCTCCAAATATTTTTTCCATAATATTGATTTATATATATATATATATTTTATATATATTTTTTTAATATTTTTTTAATATTTGAAAATTCGTTATATGTATAAAAATGTACTACATTTTCGATAAAATCTTGAGCTTGAAATTCTTTGGTTAATATTTACGATAATCATATCGATTACTTTGGTTTTTCTTGAACATACTTTTTTTTAGGGAACCACCTTCCCAACAAATTGATTATTAAATAATTCCATAATTTAGTTCATTTATTTTAAATTATAAAAAAATATTTTTAAAGTAAAAAAAAAAAAAATTTTAACTCGATTTTAATTTATTTCTTATATTATGTATTATTTTCCCATTTTTTACTCTTCGATTTCCTCTCCCATGTCGCCTGTTTCTTAATGGCAAACAGTAGAATTTTTTTTTTATTTTCTTGCTGCTCCTTTCACTGCGCCTTTTTATATTTTGTTATATTTGTTGTTGTTGTTTTTGTGTTAGCCAATGGAGCGGCGTTAGAGGCTTTTGTTTACTTGACGCTGCTGACTTTTTAGGGTCCTTCCACCGTTTATATGGCGCATAAAATTAATAATAACAACAAATGGCGCAGAGAGAAAGAGAAAGAGGGGGAGAAAATGGCTCTGGCGAGGGGAAATGGGTAATGGGAGGGGAAAGTGGAGGGGGAGGCTAATGGTAGTTACGAGAGGGAAATGCAAAAGCTTAAAGCCTTATAAAAATAGGAAAAAATCTTAAGCTCTTTAATGGATTTTTGGAAGATCAAGAAGGCTCTTAGGCCGCGCGCACACTACGAGCTGAAAGCGGAGCTGACGGCTGACGGCTTATCAGCTCTC